GGCCAGAGCAATTATTAAGCCTCTCAGATTCGGGATGTAAAATGTTATGAGAGCAAATTTGTACTTAGACCATTTCATTTTAATATATATACACACACACACACACATATATATATATAATTCATATGTTCATGTGTGTACATAATAACAAGCATTTCGAGGGTTTAATGTTCTATAGACACAAAAACAAAAACTGTTTTTGCTTGAACGTAGGTTTTCTACTTTCTAATCAAATATTGATTTGGGCATGAAGCTGAATATCATTGCAGTTGTTAATCATAATAAAATTTAAAATCCTCATGCACCAGGCTCTTAACAAATGTTACGGCATATGATCAACACCTACCAAATGCATGATAAAATGAGTTTTATTATCCCCTTTTCACAGAGGGTGAAAATAAAGCAGAGATAGACCAATTAACTTGTTCAAAGTCAAACCAGGGGAGTTTGTTCTGATGCCAAAGCCCATGATGTTACACGGTCATGGTTTTAAGTCATCATAGCATCTAAACATAACTGGCTTAAGAAACTGTAATCTATGAAAAGAACATTTTCAGGTTTCAGAGGTTATAAAATTACTGGTCCTCTTTTTTGTTGCCTTTAGCACTGATTGGGAAAGAAGGAAGTCAGTGTAATAATAAGGGCTTATGGGCTAGACATGCAGAAACCATAGGCATCTCTTGGATATGAACTAGACATAAAAAGTCACCTGTCCTTATGTCCAATTGTATGTTAAATAATAGCTGGACTGATGTGAATTCTTCAGTGCCTTTAGAAATCTTGAAATCAAAGCTCATTGCAGCTTCCTACTTCCCTGAAAACTTCCTACTTTCTTACAGGTAATTTATTGATGACAATTGACACTGGTCTTGCTGTCAATATATACAAGTATGTACTTCAGTGTCATTCTTCACTGTGTTTGCTGCAAATCTCCCTTTATAATTAAGATAGCAATGTCTTTTTCTACCACTGAACCAGTGATGTTCAACCTTGATAGTCTGACTCCTTATCATTTGTCTGATTTTGTGACCACAAAATTAAAGGAAATTGAAGTTACATTATTAGTCTATAGAGATAGATTTTGAGATAATTAATGATATGAAAAAAGTATGAGAAAACTGGAAAGCTAATACTGGGCCTACCTGACATAATATGAATCCATTATCCATTCAAACCTGTACCTTTTATGTACCAGGCACTGTGCTGGGCATGGGGCAGGATAAATCATGCCTTCAGTTGCTTAAGTGATAATCAGGGACTTGGGGAAGAACACAAAGGGACAAATCACTGGCCCACAGTGAATAAAAATTACAATAGAGATAGACGATGTTATAAGGTCCCAAGGACTGGGAAGAATCAAGGAAGGATTTGAAGAACACATTAGAGAATAAAAGAGAGGCAAAGGAGAGAGCAGCTGAGTGGTGTGATGTGAGGATACAGGAGAGGACATTTATAAATCTAGTTATATAAGTCCTCACATTTTATGGTGTTGTGTCTAGTAAGTTGTGCCTGGTATAGTAGACCAAAAGGCTTTGTGCTCAGGCACACACTGGTTCTATTTCTTACTAATTGGATAACCTTGGGCAAGTCTGTAAGTCTGTCTGAGCCTCAGTGTTCTTTCATCTATACAAGGCAGACT